GTATATATATATATGGTTCACATCAGGATCCATGCTATATGGTCTGCTCTATGCGCTTTACAACTAGAGCTATTATTTTCCCAGGAGACTCTAGAACAACCAGAAATAGCCTCGACTTCCTGGGAAGCATACTGTGCAAGCAGCCAATTAAGCGCTAAAGCACTATCAAAAGGACATGGTTGTTCAAAGATAGACTTTGTCTTGTTTGTTTGAGTAAAGAGAAGCACACTAACACTATAAATGTAATTTAATTTACTGAAAGGTCTATGTCATAATAACACTGTCTAAGGTGGCAACTTGTCAAAGACAGCCTATTCTCTCCTCCACAAGGCATGGTCGTCAAAGACATGTTCGACGGTATTTGTACTTTTGTGTAATATCCTCATTTCCCCCTCTTTTGCTTTATTGCACTTTCCCAAGAAAGAACACCCAACCTTGTGTTTCGGATAAGGGTGAAATATCGGGGGTCCGGCGTGCAAGTTGCGCACGTTAAAGATTTCTTGGTGCTCATAAAATCGATAAGAGTAGCCTTCGGCCGCTCACCACCTGAGCAAAATCCAAGATGGGAGGGAAGTGGTACCAGAGAGGGTTTATTACTGTAAAACTCTCTAGTAGTACTTGGGCAATCTACTTCCTCAATGTCTACCGCTCATGCAAAACTGTATCACGCACATTGTTTTAAGATATAGACGCACAAGGTCATCCAAGCACTGGGGCAAAAGCTGCTCTATTGTTGAGACCTAGTTATAGCTAATTGGGCACTGAGCCGTAGTAACAAAGAAAAAGTAAAAAGATGTAAAAAATACACCGGTGATTTACTGCGTGGGGCTGAACATTGTAGGTTATACGATACCCTCGGCTCAAATTTCATGATATAAGAGGCGGGCTGCAGCGACTCTGATTGTAAGGGCCGGCGGGTGCTGATTGGAGACATTTAGACAAAAAGACGAAGATACTCGATAAAATGGTCGCTTTTAAGCACAAAGGGGCTATCCCGAAAAATACTGTTTTGAGAAAATCGAAGATAAAGTTTTGGACTCTTGTTCAGTTTCTTTAAAAAACAAAGAGAGTTTTCTCTATAACCAAACAAAATTGATATACACAAACTTCTCCTATAGGTAGGGTAATGCCCACTTTTGATGTAGGTAAAGATTTCTGGAAACCCCCGAAATCTGGGTTAGCCCGTTTGTCCTTAAAGGCGACCAAATATCCTCTCCTTTCCATATTGGAATTGAACTCTTGTCTACTTGGTGCGGGGCAAAGAGTTGGACAAGTCTTTCAGTTGAAATAAAGTATAGCTCCCCCCATTTGGAACAGCTGACAAAGTGCGAAACATTTGGGGGTCGCTGTGAGTGTCACTGTGAGGGTCCCTGTGTGATACTGTGGTCACCTTTCAATTCTTTGGGAGTCCAAAGGCATGAAAAACAAAATTTAAAGTTTGAACATTCCGTTTTGTCCAAATTAACGCCCTTTCTACGTCTTCGATAGAGCCTTGCTAAATCGATTCTGCTCAACCCCTCTTGGCATAGAGGCTTCCGATAGCAGGAAAATAAGACATACACACACACACACACTCACACACACACACACACACACACACACA